TACTTAAGTTCATTTAAGAGAAAAGAAATGAGTTTTTGAAATTTTGAGTAAATTGCTTAATTAATAATGTAATTTTAGTGAGAATCCAGCTGCCCATCAGCTCCCTGGACTCTAGCTTACGTTAACAGGTGTGAACCTACAGACAGTAAACACATTCACAGCCTTCCCACTGTATATTTACACTGATATCTGTTCAGAACATTTACACCATTAAAATCAGCAGCAACATCATCAGCAATTTACTTTGATTTTTACTGTAATATATTTCACTATTAATCATGCTGATCAGTTCATACAGAATCAGACATTATTACTGCATTTCACACTTAAACAGCTACACAGACTCTCACAGTTAAAGACAAAGCACTTGTAATAAAATATACACAACAGATTTCAAGTTTAATAAACAGAACTATTATAAAAGAAGGAAGAAAACCGTGAACACGGGACCTGTTTAGCTCGGATCAGCTAGCTTGGCTAACGCTGCCTCAGGTGGTTGAGTTCTCCTCTGCCCTTCTCCACTAATCTGGACATCTCTGTAGTGTTTTTCCTGCCAGAGCTGCTGTTTTTTAATTGGTGAATCTTTTATATTTAACTGCGCTTTGATCTTATTGGTTTCTGAGCTGATATGCTCACATTTTTTTTACTCTGTAACATTATTGAAAATTAAAGTAGTGAAGTAAAAGTATTTCATTAAAAATTAACTCAAGAAAGAGTAAAAGTACTATAATTTAATTCTACTCCACAAAGTACCGTTATAGGGAAAACTGTACTCAATTACAGTAACGAGAGTAAATGTAATTTGCTACTTATAGCTCTGTTTATAGGCACTTGAACAGGTGTCACCAGTCAATAATCAGGTTAATGGGAGCGTGGATAGGTGGATGGTTGAGAGTCTGTGGTCGTGTGATACCCCAGAGGATTCTGGGAGTTGGAGTTCTGAACAGAGTGAGGAGTGTTGGCTCAGCATGACAATGTAGCGTGTCAGAATTGTTAAACGAATCAGAGTAATCAAACAGTCCATCGCAGAGGCAGATATTTTAGATCTCCTTTGTGAATGTGGGTTGCTGATTGTACAGCATAGCACAGTGAATAATAATAAGATATATATAATAAGAGTCCCCTATAATTTTACTGTTTAAGTGTAAAGTAACTTGATTTACTGGAACATTTAATACCTACTATTTATCTTCTTCTCATTTTAATAATAATAATAATAATAAAAATAATAATAAAAATAATAATAATAATAATTATTATTATTATTATTATTATTATTATTATTATTATTTATTGATTTATTTTTTAATTATTGCTGTTTTTGTTGTTTCTGCTCCGAATCTTTGACCTCAGTGATGCCCCTGTATTCTACTGGGAGTGTAACGGTGGTATATACTTTCAAATTCAAAAGTTTGTGCACCCCGAATCAAATTAAAGGATGTGTTAACATATTTTCACTTCTCATTTGACTAGAGATTTTAATACTTTTGCATAAATGGAACGATACCACTTATCTATCAAAATAATCACATCTCAGAGTCTCTTCCATTCTTCCAGTGTCTCCTCAAATTCAGTGTAGTTAATGAGGCAGTTTGTAGGGAAGTCATGTGAAATAGTTATTTCACCTCTATGTAGGGAGTTTCGCAATGAAATATTCAAAGCGTCCTTGCTCTCTCTGTGTTCCTCCCTCTCTCACTCACACACACACACACACACACACACACACACACACACACATATACTTATTGTCTGTCACTTCCAATTACTTTCAGGCACTCTGTGCTGTGCTGGCACATTAGTGCGTGCGTTTTGTATGTGTACGTGCGCGCGTGCCAGGGTGATGTGTCTAGTTTAGCCAGGCGGTCTTGAGCTTTCGTCTCCTCGGCGATAACAGCAGTGGTGTCACTTTGAGTTTGTTTGCTCTCTCCAGGTGTCTCTCAGTGTGACGGCCACTCTTCGCTGGAGCTGAACCATATGAAAAGCCCTACAGCGCTCTCTCTCTCTCTCTCTCTCTCTCTCTCTCACACACACACACACACACACACACTTACACACACACACACACACACACACACACACACACACACGCACACACACACACTCAGAATCACGCTGTTTCTTTCTCCTTCATTGTCTTTCTCTCAACTGATAAACAGAAAGTAAAACTATTGATTTAAATGCAGCAGCACTGTTATGTTATTACTTTTTGTAAGTTATTAATTTTTCTGTGTCAGAAAAAATGACATATTTAACAGAAGGTTACACAGAAGCCTCAACAGCTATATATATATATATATATATATATATATATATATATATATATATATATACATATACATATATGGGTCATTCTACAGAAACGTCAACTTTTCTATCTCTCCATAGGAGTCACTGGTGTTACTGGTCCTCATTGGTGTTACACATAATAAAGGAACACCAGAGACATTTTTAATGAAAAATGAATTTTAAAAACGGCTGCTACAGAACATCAAACCACATGTCATCAATCATGGAATATCCACTAAAATATGGAATTTAATCCATTTGTGTTCTATTTTTTTCACAATTACCTCAGAATAAAGTCGGTCACACCAGTGACTTCAGCTAAAAGCTTCATATGAAATCATGAGCTAAATGAGAAAATCTCTGATAACTGAAAGACACAGTGGACTCACCATGAGCTTTTCTTCATAGATCCTCAGAAAACAGGTAAAAGGAAGTCGAGTGATGTCATCAGTGTGACTTTTATTTCAAAATAAGAGATCTTTTGTTATGTGGTAACACCAGTGACACGACTCCTGGGGACAACAACTTTCATTATATATTTTATAATATTTATTTGGCTTTTGTTTTCTTTATGTCATTTAATTTATATATTACATAGTCATGTATAGATTATTGCAATTAAAATTGCAGGAAAACATGTTTTTTTCTTCAAAATATGGCCTCTGCCTGAACACACGACTGTGAGGACGAGCTCTTCTGTGGTGACTGGAATTCTATATGACTGATTTAATAACCAATATTGCTGAATTGAGGCTCAAGAAGGTGTAATTTTTAAAATAACTTATTGTTTTATTTTAAAATATAAATAAATTGTAACCCTAACATGTTTTTAAGTGTAATATACCTGTAAACGCTAGGGACACAAAAATGGATGTTTCTGTAGAATGACCCATATATTTTTTTAGAAAGGCCACGCTTTGCCTTTATCACAGCTTCCACAATGTTCCCAAGAGTTACTTTCAGTTTTCCAAGGAAATCTGCAGGGATATTTTTCCACACCTCCAAAGTTCAGTGAACTTTGAATTCAGTGACACTGAGGTCTGACGTCTCGGTGGCCAGCTCATTGTTCTAAGAACATCAGCAGCTTCTTTGATTTGCAAATTGTCTTCCTTTTGTCTGTTCATTGGCTTCTTGACAGCTACACATCCTTTCATACCCATAGCGCTAAATTGTTTTCTTACAGTGGAAGGATGGACAGAAACACCTGTGGAGCTTGATTTTCTCCAATCTCTCAAAGATGAAACAGTACTGTTTATCCAATGGGGAGAGTTGTGGTGGTCTGCCGGGTCCCATTTTCTCTATAGCTTTTAATCATTTTTGAAATCCATTTTTTTTTTCACTTATTTTGACTTTCCTTCATTATGCAAGTGGAATATCTTATATCTGATCTCCCCAAAAATATCTCCTGGAAAATGAATATTTGTACGCCCTTAAAAAAGATTTTAAGTTATTTTTTCAAGGGTTCTTAAGTAAAGAGAATGGTTCTGTTTAAAACCATGAGTTCTGAGTAGAACTTTTTCATGCTTAAATGTTTCATCACAAGGTGAAGTCGTTTTTCAGGCTGGTCTCTGACTTTTGCTCAGTACGGTACGAGCACAGGTGCAGCACAGGAGCTGTTATTAATCTAAAGACAAAAAGAAAATGAAGTTCAGTGATGAATAGATAGCAGTGTTAATGAAGTTCTTTCCCACCAAAACACAGGGGTGATATTCTACTCCATTAACAGTAACATAGACTACGAGCACATATTGTGGCCTCATCATGGCATATTTTGCACTGCATTTTCTCCCAAGCATCTGATCCTAAGAGCTGAAATAATGTAAATATTCTCACAGCATGTGGTCGAGGCTGTGTAATCTGCTGTCATTCTCAAAAAAAGTACAAATTTATGACTAATTTTAAAAGGATGTCATCAGGCAGACTTCTGATCTCATTTTCTGTCACAATCCCACCTCAAACATAAAAGCCATTTGGTGTTTTAATGCACAAAGCCCATCAGCTGTGCATGTAGGCAGTTTTGTGCACAACGTGCATCTGAAAACTGCTGCAAAAGCCTTTATACATCAGGCCTTATTTGTTGATGTACAGTCATAGCAAAAGTCTGAACACCATTCGTCAAAGTAGATGTTCATTCTAAAAAAATTAGTAAAAAAATTAATAAAAAATTGAGTTTGCACATTTTCTACAGCAAGCAAAGCTTAATTTGATGAGTTGTGCATGTTTGCAGAGTTTAAGATATTGCAAAAAATAATAAAATATTAAATGTACTACAACTTTTGCACAGGCCACATTTTATGTTTTATTGTTTTTACTTTACTTTTACATTTTAATTATTCAGCAAGTAATTAATTGTGCATGAATACGTGCTGAGGTGTGTTGTATGTAGAGGATGCGTTCACTTATTTTCACACAGAAAAGCAACCAAACGTAATTTGACCAGGGGCGCCAACATTTTTGCATACAACTGTATGCATGTTTGTCTTCAAGCCATTTTAAGCCTCCTTCCTGTCTCATGGTCTTGCCAGTGATCTAAGCCTGAACTGCTTTGACAGGGTTTATAATGGAAATGCTTCATTCTGCTGATTTCAACAGCAGTGACAAAAGTAATTCCTGACCTAGTCTGTGTCCAGCATGGGTCAAACTGCAGTCGTTCACACTTTTTGCACTCGTTCATCGTCGTTCATTCTTCCACTGTTTCTCTTGCTTTCGCTCAGGTTTCAAGCCTGTACCTGTACGACAGCGTGCTGATGTTGGCCAACGCCTTCTACCGGAAACTGGAGGACAGGAAGTGGCATAGCATGGCCAGTCTGAACTGCATGAGGAAGTCAACCAAGCCATGGAATGGAGGCTGGTCCATGCTGGACACCATTCAGAAGGTCCGTGTACAGTTCCATCAGCTTCTCAATTCAATGTACTTCTGCTCAGATCAGCTTTAGACATTACATTTACAGCATTTAGCAGATGGTCTTCTCCAGAGCGGCCTTTAGTCATGTTATATGAAATAGACAAATGTATTCTTAGGAGTTTTGCTCAAGGACTCTTATTGGTGTAGCATGGTAAACACTATACCAACCAGATTAAAGAGGAAATTCCACCAATATTACTAAATTCAGGCATAATTCAACTGGCCAGATGTAAACAGTCATTCAAACTGGCTTAATGTGAGATGCTTCATTCAGAAGGACGTCACCAAGTCAGAACTGTTTGCAGCAACCAGACATTTAATGCCTTTGAAATAAAGCTATACACAAGTTTTTGAACTAAAATGTATTTCGAAGCCTTTCACTGTAGACTGGTGCATGCAGCATGTTGTGAAGACTCTTTGTAAATACCCCATTGTAAAGAAGGCTGAGTAAGTAATAAGTCAGTCTCTACAACTGACCAAATGTTTCTGATTTTATAAAACATTAAAAGCTAGAACATTTCCATTTATTCCCAGAAATAAGCTGAAACAGAGAAAGCTAGCTAGTAAGTGCCATCTTTGAATTGCACCTGGTGTTAAGATTAACATCCTAAGTTAGAGCCCTAAAACAGGTGGGTAGAAATAAGCAATGCATACTTCCTTCATTTCTGATTTGATAAAAATGTTAAAGACTAGAATGCTTTCATTCATTCTTACAGATCATTTGAACCTGACCATGCTGACATTCACCTCACTGATCCCTTTAACTGCTGCTGCACTCAGCACTTTAACTTAAGACACACACTTTGCACAATGTAAGGTTTACAGGTGTGTGTGTGTGTGTGTGTGTGTGTGTGTGTGTGTGTGTGTGTGTGTGTGTGTGCGTGATGGTAGGAATGCATGTTTTATTTTATTTTAATTACTACATGTGAATGATGTCTGATACTGTGCACTGTGAGCTCCTGTAACCAAAACCAAATTGTAACGGTGGAGGCAAGGAGGCAGGAAGCAAATGAGAGTTGCTTTTATTCAAATTAGAGTTAACTGAGTCCAGAAACTGAGAAGCAGAAGTTTGAATCCGTGACACAAATTCCTTGTATGTCTAAGCAAACCTGGCCAATAAAGCTGGATTCTGATTCTGCTAGGAAACCTATTTGGATTGCACCTTGTTAAGACTGATATTGTACCTCGAATTAGAGCTCGAAAGGAGTTAAAAATGAGTAATGCACACTTCTGATGTCTTAAAATGAGTTCTAAAAAGCTAGCATGCCTTAAATTATTTCAGGAGTTAATTGAAACTGAGAATGCTAGTTAGCTAGTAGGAAAGGTACTGGATTGCAAGTAGTGAGAAATTTCTGAATTATGCAGAAATTTAGTGAAATTGGTGAGGTTTTCACACTGCTTCGGTAGTAACTCTGCGTGTGCACGACCGGCAACGAAAGGTGACAAGGCAGCCGGAAGTTGTTCATTTTGAATGAGATCCAGTAACACAGTGTGTGTTGTGCTGGTCTGAGTGGATCAGACACAGCAGTGGTGCTGGAGTTTTTAAACACCTCAGTGTCACTGCTGGACTGAGAATAGTCCACCAACCAAAAATATCCAGCCAACAGCGTCCTGTGGGCAGCGTCCTGTGACCACTGATGAAATACCAGTGCAACACACACTAACACACCACCACCATGTCAGTGTTACTGCAGTGCTGACAATGATCCACCACCCAAATAGTACCTGCTCTGTGAGGGTCCATGGGGGTCCTGACCACTGAAGAACAGGGTAACAAAGTATCAGAGAAACAGATGGACTACAGTCTGTAACTGTAGAACTACAAAGTGCACCTATACAGTAAGTGGAGCTGATAAAATGGACAGTGAGCGTAGAAACAAGGAGGTGGTCAGAATGTTATGCCTGATCAGTGTATATAATTAAAAATAAAACAAATGCTGAGAAGTCAAATATTATAAATTTGCTATTTTAATTTTGATATCCAAATACTTTCGTGATGTTGGTTAGTAAAGACAGCCTCTGTTGGCCGAGCGCTGGGTGTTACCGGCTCCCGTGGTTTTAAACGTGTAGTTTGAATGACCACGCAATCCAGTCGAACTTCCTGCCTGCCTGCTCTCGCTTCAAAACGCCCACCAGCTGAAGGCTGCCTGAGCAACGCTGAGCAATTTTTTCACCGGCGGTGTGCACGCAGGGTAGTTGTAATTGGTGTATAAAGTACTATTTGGCTGCGATAAGTTTAATTAAGTGTAATTAATGATTAATGTTTTTATAGGAAATTTGTGTAAGAGATCAGTGTGTAACTGACTGACAGAGGAGCGTCTGCTTGATTTGTGCTCTGTTGCTGCACCAAAAATGTCTCAGACCTGGAAGAAATCATTCCAAATATCCTAAAGTTTATAGTAATTTCTCTCATCTATCTAACCAGCTGTCTTTAGCGCATTAAATGCCATTAGCTACATTTGAAACAGTAAAGTGTTTACAGCCAATAATAACCAAAATCACCACATCTCAGATAGCAAGCATGTATCTGTCCGCTGGCTTGATAAGGTCGGCACCCCGCTGACTGTTTGCCACTGCCGGTCCACCCTCAGACCTGTCCTGCAGACAAGCTCTAACTAGTTTTTAATGTCCTCAAATAGATTTTAAATACACAGAGACTTTTATTTTAGAAAACAAACTAAGATAAATGTTACAAACAACTTGATATGAAATGATTTCATAGAAAATGTTGCTGACACTGAGTTAGACTAAAATTATTTACTAAACTAATTTACAAAGTATAATTAAAGAAAGGAAGGAAGGAAGAATCAGTAAATTGGACTGTAAATGGAAAATGAGTGATGATAAGTGGAATTTTGTCTAATACTCTGCTTCAACACTGGTGGACTGCCCGGAAAATGCTGAGCAAAATGCCAGTGGACCACCAGCTCTGCCATCAGCGGGCCGACAATGGTCCACTATCCCCTTGCCACAGTGGTTCTCTATAGTTCTGCATAAATTTGATCTAAAACTTCATCAGATTTTCACACGTCCTAAAAGTAGATAAAGAGAATCAAATTAAACAAATGAGACAAAAATATTAGACATGGTCATTTATTTATTTAGGAAAATGATAATATCATGTATTGCGAGTGGCAAAAGTATGTGAACCTTTAGGATTAGAAGATAATTTGAAGGTTAAATGAGAGTCAGGTGTTTTCAATCAATAGGATGGCAATCAGGTGTGAGTGACCGCCCTGTTTTATTTAAAGAACAGGGATCTAGCAGAGTAGTTGTGGTAGAGTAGTAGTTGTTGCTCGTCAGGCTGAAAAGGGTTAAAAAACCATCTCTAAAGAGATCGGACTCCACCAATCCACAGACAGATGGAAATTCTAGACCATTGTTACTCTCCCCAGGAATGGTTGACCAACAAAGATCACAAAAGAACCCAGGGTAACTACTAAACGGTGGTAGTACCATGGTTTGGGCCTGGTTTGCTATATCAGGAACAGGATGGCTTTTCATCATTGATGGAACAATGAACTCTGAATTATACCAGCAAATTCTGACAGAAAATGCCAGGACATCAGTCCATGAGCTGAAACTCAAGAGAACGTGAGTCATGCAGCAAGAAAACAACCCTAAGAACATTAGTTGTTCTCACAAAGAACAGTTAAAGAAGAAAACAGTTAATGTTCTGGAATGGCCAAGTCAAAGTTCTGACCTTAATCCTGTAGAAGGACCTGAAGCAGCAGTTCATGGGAGGAAACCCACCAACATAACAGAGTTGGAGCTGTTTTGTATGGAGGGGCTGAAACTTCACCAAGCCGATGTGCAGGACTCATCACTAGTTACCGGTAATGTTTAGTTGCAGTAATTGCTGCACACCAGATACTGAAATCAAAGGTTCACATACTTTTGCCACTCACAGATCTGCAATAATGGATCATTTTCCTCAATAAATCAATGACCAAGTCTAATATTTTTGTCTCATTTGTTTCTCTTCATCTACTATTAGGAGTTTTGTGAAAATATGAAGAAGTTTTAGGTCAAATTAATTCAGAAATATAAAGGGTCTAGAGCAGGGGTCTTTAATTAAAGTTCAGTAAGGTCCAGTTAAAGAAAATTTCCTCAAGCAAAGGTCCAGAACATCATAATGTCTAACTTGCGTCATGATTCAGTGCCATATACTGTTTACTGAAGTAGCCTAGTAGGTATATCCACATCTTATACAGTCGACAACTGAATATCAAATCAAATAAAGTACAATTCAGTCATATTTCAACAATATTATATATAAAACTATTGCCAGTTTTCTCTTTTTAGAGCACGACATGTGAAATAATCTCCCTCTGACTCACTTTCTTCTCCGACTGCTGTGTCTCGCCTCGTCCATCCCCTGTGTGTGTGTCACTCACTCTCTCAGTCTCAGTACCCGTGGTAATGCACAGATCTGATTGGCCGAGTAGCGTCAAGTAGACTCTCCGGCTGCTAAACCAGCACCGTAATGACTAGAAATGATACGCCGATTAAAACAGGACCACCTCCTCAAAATGAAATAATTCTCCATAGTTTATCAGTTATAGGTCCAGGTCTGCATAGGACAGCGTCTGGGTCCAGACTTGGACTGCGGCCCACCTTTTAGTGACCTCTGGTCTAAAGGGTTCACAAACTTTCAAGCACCATTGTAAAATCAAGCTGCAGGGTCATTTTTCTGGTGTATTATATTACGTCTGTACACTTGATGCAGACCAGAACTTATTGGCTTGATTTGTGCTGCAGAGAATGGCTCCACAAGTGGCTCCATATTCCAGAAAAATGTGCCCAGTTTCTACAGTTCATCTTACAAAAGGTAAAATAATAACATGATCTGCACAAAAGATAAACAGAAGAAGCACCCAGTCTGTAAAAATTACTCACATGGTGGATTCAAACAGGACTAAAATCACAGAGACAGTGCAGTAATTAGACGAACGCACCTCCCCATGTAAAACTAATCCTGTTCAAATTATGCTTGTAGTATTATTGTTCCAAGATAAAAGGAAACTTTTGGGCACTGATGGCAAAAAAAGCACAGTTTCTTTTGTTTAGCATATCTAGGAGATGGTTCCTTGAATGCCAGCGCACTCATGCAGCACATTCAGTGGGCGCAGTATCAGCTGTTTTTGCTCTTTGGTTGTTATTGTGCCGTCTTTGCTGGTTTAAACTGTTCTGCTCAGGTTCTCAGCAGGTTTTTTTTATCTTTTCTCTCCTGCAGGGAAGAATCTCAGGCCTGACAGGTCTTATGGATTTCCGGAGCAATGGAGCCAACTCCCATGCACAGTTTGAGATATTGGGAACCACTTACAGCGAGACGTTCGGGAAGGATGTCAAACGGGTGAGTGATCGGGAACTAATGTTGAAGTAAAACACAGATGAGTTTTTGCTTCACGGTTTGCTGTCATGAGGACCAAAATGTGTTTTGAATGTATTAATGCTTTCCGTCTTTCAGTCAAACATAAAAGTGAAAAAAAGTGATATTAAAGATGAATTTCATCCATTTTTCAAAATGTCTGCATAATTCAATGGCTGAGATGTAAACAGTCATTCAGAGTGATCTGATGTTAAATGTTTCATGATAGAGAAACTTACACACTCAGATTTCTTTACAATAGTGGTGATCATAAGCGATCATCATGTCGACAACATAAATATAGGCATTTTATTTACTATCCAAAACCACCAGTGAACCTACACGTACCTTTTTAGTGTTTATATGTGATGCTGATCGTGGTAAAATAGTGAAAAATCTGAAGTTCTGAAGTTAAATCTGAGTTGTCTTTGGGGACTATTTTGCCTTACAACACCCTGCATGTGTCCCTCCACCATCAATGCTTTTAAAGAGGAATTGTATAGTTTTTTTCAAAATTTTCATAATTTAGTTTACAGTGGTGACTTGGTTTCTTTACTAATAGGAAGCAGGGTTGTGATGTTATACAGTGCAAACATAGCCCTTTTATTTACTATGCAAAATGACCATTGAACCTACACAAGACTGCTTATATTTCCATATGTGATTTTGATAATATTGATGAGGTTCAAATAGTTATTTACCTGAAAAAGTTAGTTTTCTTTAGGCACTATTTTCTACTACAACACCCTGCATGTAGCTTTCCACCATGAATGTTTGAAGAAGGGAATTCTCTACATTTTCTTAAAGATTTGTTTTATGTTGAGATGTAAACAAAGTCATTCCCAGTGGTTTTGCTGTGAAATTGTTCATTATAGACCAAATTATAGACCCAGATTTCTTTACAGTGGTGGTGACTGTAACCAGGGGTCATGATGTCCACAAAGCAAACTTAAAGCTATTTTATTTACAATTTAAAATGACCAGTCAGCCTATATATCATCTTGTATTTGCATATGTAATGTTGATCATGGAAAAATAGTGTTAAATCTGAAAAATATGTTTGCTTTGGGGACTATTTGGCCTGCATGAACTTTTCTGTGAATGTATTGGTAACTCTTTATAAAAGCTTTGTTTAATAAACCATTAACGGACCATTATTAATTAAGAACAAGTTATTACTTAAACCAAAATTTGAAAATGTATAAATGTAAAACAGTTCCTGCAGTTGTTGATGTGTGTATTCATATTTATAAATACTCTGCATGGTGTTTTTCTTATCCTTTCACTAATAAAAAATGAGTTATACAATATCAGTTCATGTATAGAAATCATCTAAGCAAATTATTGAAAAGTAAAACTTTGTAATAGTGACATAAGCTTTATATTTTGTCGAGTAAGCACATATGATCATAGAATTTCTTGTAGCTAAGTAATTAATGATAAGTAATTAGATAACTCATGTGTGAAGCTGTAACTCCTGCTAACAGATGTTTGTAAAATTCAATTTAACTTTATTGTCAGTATACAATCCCATTTCCAAAAAAGTTGGGACGCTGTGTAAAATGTAAATAAATGTAAATTCAAACAGAATGTAATGATATACAAATCTCATAGACCCATATTTTATTCACAGTAGAACATAGAACACATATCAGATGTTGAAAGTGAGACATTTTACCATTTCATGAAAAACATTAACTCATTTAGAACTTGATGAAGTTGGGATGCTACACAATGGTAGACACGGCCTGTCCCAGCTTGTTTGAGATGGGTTGCTGCCATCAATTCATGAAATGGTAAAATGTCTCACTTTCAACATCTGATATGTGTTCTATGTTCTACTGTGGATAAAATATGGGTCTATTAGATTTGCAAATCATTGGATTCTGTTCTTTATTTACTTTTATTTACATTTTACACAACGTCCCAACTTTTTTGGAAGTGGGGTTGTATATAAAGTGGGGTACAGCATAATGAAACACACTTTACTAGTGGGATAACACAGTATGTAAGTAAAAAAAGCAATAAATAGACAATAAAGGATAAGTACTGAATACACTAGATACTGAAGTGTACTGGTGCACAGAAAGTGTGTATATGTATGTGCAAAATGTGCAAATAAATGTGCAGCCATTTTCATTGGTAATCAACCCAAATTGTGAAAAATATCTGCTGCATTTTTAGAGGTGGAGTTCAGTAACAATAGTATGAATGAACTGAAGTTTTCAGTCCACGTATATGAAGTCAGTCAGCAGTTCGGAATAACACTAAAGTTCAGTGTGCCTGTAGTTGGAGCAGTGTTTGTATTCATGGTGTGGCGGGTGCTGTGGGTGACCAGTTTAACAGCTCGAGGGTAGAAACTGTTCTTGAACCTGGTGGTTGTGGCTCGAATGTTCTGATATCTCCTCCCTGATGGCTGCTGTTAGAACAGGAAGTGGCTGGGGTGTGTGGGGTCTGAGGTGATACTGCTGGCTTTCCTCAGACATCTTTTATTGTAAATGTCATGTATGGGTGGAAGGACAGCTGCAGTGATGGACTGGACAATTTTCACCACCCTTTGCAGGGCCTTCAGTTCCGCAGCAGCAGACTATGATGCAGCTAGTCAAGCTGCTCTCCACTGTGGACATGTAGAACCTACAGAGGAGCTGCTGTGGCAGGTTGACTCTCCTCAGCCTTCTGAGGAAATGAAGGCAGTGTTAGGTCTTTTTGAAAAGGTGTGACGTGTTGGCTGACCAGGTGAGATTCTCAGCTATATGAGGTTCTCATAAAATGGTCCCTTTGATGCTCAGAGGTGTGTGCATTCTGCTCCCCTTCCTGAAATCACCAATCATTTCTTTGGTTTTGTTTACATAAAAATATCTAAAATAGATTTCCTTTGTTATTGACCAATACTGAGCATTTTTGCAGCAGCTAAAGGAAAGCGAACCGTGACTCTTAACCTTGGCAACCTTCTGCAAAAGTTAAGAAACAAAAATTAGGACGATAGTTGAGCCTTAGAATTGCAACAAGCAAATAGCACAGAGAGGCTTATTACCCAAACAAAATAGCTAATTTCTTAAGCAAAATGCAAATCCTCCTTACAAATAATCGCATCATCATACAAGCTCTGTGTGCACTTCAAAGGAATATGGAGGCCTCAACAGGCCGGGGTTCAAAACACATGACAGTCACGCCTCCCAACTACACAAACCAACAACAAGCCTTCATATCATGGCAGCGCGCATGGCCAAGCAGATACATTAGTGTCAGAAAAATGACCAGTGATTCTGCATAACGGCCAATTTCCCAAATAAACCTTCACATTGCACAGTGTCAGTGGCGGCCTATAAGATTTTAAATAACCTATGCTTTGATCAGGGCATTGCTTGAAAACGAAGCCCATCCTCCTGTCCTTTTGGATGAAGTTCTCATCCAAATGATGAGGTTGTGCAACTGATCCTTTGCTTATAAATTCATCAATGGCTGCTTCTCAAGCATTCCTTTGGTGATTTGCTGACTGGGAAAAACTTCCTAGATCACAAAATCCATCTCTGGCCCAAAACCCCCTCATCACACCCAACAGCAACAATCCCAGCAGTAGAGCTTTCACTCCTTGGTCGATCCTGTCATCCAGGGGTCTCATGGCGTAATTGCTGGAGTTGAAATGCCACTCAAAAGCCTTTTCTGCACCAAATTAAGCTCTGATATAGGTCATCATTTGCTTATTAATTCCAACTTTTCATTAAAAGGTAATCTAAAAAATGGCACGGATAATAAATTTGCAGCGTTGCCCCCCCTACTAGCGGTAACGTCACTCTCGGCTTCCATCATGAACCAACAAGCTAGCTAGCTGTTTTTGCTCTCTTCATGTCTCCACAGTGGGCAGAACTTGTCATACAGTTAGCAATAACAAAGGCCACCCATTTTGAGGGAAGCTAAGATTGGTCAGTTTTACTGTCATTTGAAATTGGACTTTCATTGAAATACTGTTGCTTGGCCCCCTGTAAATGTATAGCTGGACCGCCAGTCACCGTCATTCTTTCCAGTGACAGCAGATACAGCAAAACTCTGATAGGGAGACAAAGGGGCTTCTTTAATTTACCCTTCACATTCCAGTACGAATTGAAAAGGTGGGTTTGAAGGATTTATTTGCTTAGATTTATATTTCGCTGTTTTTGGAAGAAAATCTCGTATCTCCAAAATGGTAACTTTACAGGAAGAGGAAAAACCTACTTTACTTTTAATGTAAGTTGATGGAAATAGACTTTTCTACAAGTCGTTTCTTCTGGTCCACACAATGTAAAGGGTAACGGGTATTTTGAAATTATATCAAAAACCGATAATGCCAAAAATGAAGATATGAGGTTTTCTTCTGACAGCATTTGTTTAGATGTCATATGTCAAAATATGATCAGAGAACATTATAACTGCTCAATTTTAAAATATCATTTTTCAGAATATCTTAGGCTCTCTCTGAGGGCGTAGAGGACCATGACTGTCCCCCTCTGGTTGGAACGGTGCAGAATAAGTTCATGTTACTAACAGAAATGCAAGAAGTGCCTGTCATGTGACTTTTGCCAAAATGAAGCCTGAGCAATGTGCAGTTGTAGCTTCTGAACTCATTTGTTGATGTCAATCCAGCTGATCTTTGGGAGTTTATTGCAGATTCAAAAACTTTCTCAGAGACTGAAAAATTGGTGCTCTTTCTCGACCCAGTTGCACAGCGTATCACAACTGGGTGGAGAAAGAGAAGAGCGGGAGAGAGTGCAGAAACAACAGCAGGTTGCTCTGTGTCACATGGCAGGTACTTCTTGGATATGATCTGGGGAGTCAGGCACGCTTTAGAACCCTCCAAGTGGAAGATGATGCAATGTGTGAAAATCTATGTACAATTTCATACTTCATCTTCTGTACTGAATTGAAAATGGCAAAAATAAGAGAAAGGTTTGTTTTTTTTATTGGTGTGTTTATATAAAGGTGTTGAGCCCCATCTGTGGAAGTGACAC